ATTTCACCACTATCTGAAAATAATTTTGTAGGTAAAAATCCAATTTACGTACATAGATGTGTCTGTCGTAACGGATAATAATGTTCACATTTTTGTAACTTTTATAAGCATTCACCAATATTTTCATGAGTAAAATTATGCGCACATGTATTGATGTAGAATAATTATTAATGATCCTGATATGATACATCTAAGTAAGGGCTAGTGGTAACTCATTCCCGGACTCTGACAATAAATAACCAAAGTAGGATTAATTGACCGTTTTAATGTAAAAGAATACATCAAGTCATTGAAAACAAAAACAAACAGCTTCAACGCTTTTCTTAATTATGAAGATATTTTGAATTTAATTATACATGAAAATACACTAACTATAGTCTGAAATGTCATTTCATCACTGTATTTCTAATCATTATTTACTTAATTTTTGCTTGGTATTTAATTTATTCATTCAAGCTAAAATTTTGTTCCTATCAGTAGGAATTTTGAATCTTGAAATATTTGAACTAAGAAAATAATCAACAACCAAGTTATGTCTTATCTGATAATGTTATAAATTTGGCAAAGCCGAAAAGAATCGATTTTTCGAAATAATATAAATTATAAAATTTCAAGATAGCATTTACAGTGTTTTAATAACTTACAGTTTTTCTTAACTTAACTTACTTCTATGATCGTTGTTAAGGGAGTTCTCTCGGTTACAGAACTAACAATAAGAAATAAATGATAATTTATCTACGAATGAATGAAGTCATAAAAATGGCATTGTCAAAATTTAAAGGCATGAGAGTTCTTAGGAGCTGAGTAATTAATATTTATACTTAGTTAATTTTTACATGTAGGCTTATGGGCTGATATCTTTTTAAGCGCTTCTATTGCTTTTACCTCGCTTATGAACAATGAACTTTGGATGGTAATTTTATCAATGATAAAAAAAAATGTAATGATCGCATTGATTTTTATAAAACATCTCGAGGGTCCTTTTGAGAAAAGAGATTATAAGACATACCAAAGAGCGTTGCATGGACTATAGAGAGAGATTGGACGTTCTTAAGCCGCTGCTTGCTCGCACACAGTCGCAAGATCTTACTAGGTTGACCACAATGATGATTTTTATCCTACACGAGGGTACTCGTGGCGATTATGATAATAAGGCTGCTGCTTTTAACGTCAGAACCCAAGTTGACGGTTCTTTCTTTCTTGTTCCTCTTAGATTCACTTTTTAGGCGAGTCTACAGTGGCCTGGTTTACTCGAGCTTTTCCCACAAGCTTTATCACCGAGCTAAGTATTACATTTGCTTGAAATACACGCTTGTAACACGCAGCTTCATCACCGAATTAAATCTTATACTGGCTTAAGGTGTCCCATTACGAAATTGAAATACCTTAAGTATCAACGAAACTTGGAGGAATTATACTTGAATATAAACCGAATCACCTCTAAAAATTTGAAGCTGTGTTGCCAGGCAATTTTTTTAAAACAAATCTCTTAAAAATTAATGTTCAACTTGGGCTCTTATGGAAGGTCATACAATATTGATTACAAAATTTCCAAAATATACCTTAACTCTTCGTATAAAACTAGGAATAGAAAGTAGAAATCATAAGCTTCTCAATGATATTAAAAAAATTTGGGTGTGCCAGGTATTATTTTGGTATTAGTTATCAAAAAGGTGATTATGGATAAAAAGACACAGGTTACTTGTGCTATGGCAGCGTCATGATCGGATGTTTGTAGGTGTGATGGACTGATGTCATGCTATTAGATAGTACTCGTGTGATGAACCACCTTAAAATACGCAACAAAACTCACTCTCTAACTATTTAATGAAAGAGAAAAGGCGAATATTTATATGTGCAAGGAATTTTTATACTCTTACATTTAAGGAGGACATGTCAGGTTGGGGATCTGAACGATCAATCAGAGCTTTACCTAACCTAACTGCAATAATTATACAGTAACTTATAGTTAAAACTACTAATCTCTCAGATTTTACATTTTGTGTAATTTACTGTCGAAATTGTGTACAATAATTGTTGTGAATTATACGCAGTAAGGAATGTTGAAATTGTTGATGGTTTACATTCTTGGATGTAGGAGTGTGCGAATGAATGTTGTAAAACAAGTCCTTTATAACATTGTTTGAAGGTTGCACGCATAGTTCGAGTTTTACGATGGTATTTTGTTTCAAAAGAAGTAAGTTGTACGTGATTGCAGAAGCAGGTATGCAGCTCGATGTTCAATGAATGCTAAGCATTCGATTTTTATAATTTTAGAAGAGGAACTAAGTATTTCGAAATAATGAATGTTAAGTATACATGGCATAAGATTTCACAATTCCACTCAATATCATTTCAAAATTCACAAAAAAAAAAAATTTAGTAACAAATTATTCAAAGGACTATTTTCGCTCATTCATCACAATTTTAATGGGCTTTTGTAACGTAAAGGCGGTCGTATACTTACTTTATGACACTGTATATCGTCCATATACTTCTCGTAGAGTACGCCATATATCTCGTAGAGTATATTTTTACTCGCCAAGACGATGAAGTAATCGTATTAATAAAAAATTTATTTGTTACTTGCCAAAATGTATAGTACACCAAACAAAACAGTCATAATCAATTTTAACAAATGGATGTGCATGCTATTTGCACTTTATATTGCAGTGCTTTGGAACACAGTGAGACGCATCATAACGAATATACTTTATTTCAGAAGAGGAACCATAGGGAGGAATCATATACAGAATAAGTGTTTGTGTATCAAGAATAAGTACACGATAAACAATTTTCATAATTTTACAATGCTGAACGTTGGAACGAATCATCGACACTCCGATATGTATAAATAAATGTCAGATTTTTTCTAACGCTGGAAATGCGAATCACTTTTTCGGTGTACCATGTGTGCAATGCGCAACTGCACGTGTTGAAACAGAACGGCACAGGTGTTCTGCATTCCTTGAGGATTCTCGATAGTTAAGGAGGCTTTCCAGATATTTGAACAATAAAATTATATTTGATAATTATCAAAAAAAAAAGTTTTATAATTTATTCACCGGAAGTCACAGCTTTTTATATCCCCAAGTTGGGCACATGTAAGTATTGAGCCACTGTATAAGAATTAATGTTAATTCGTAGTGTATTTGTATAATCATCCGTGTAATTACTATCACTTGTATCATAGCGTCAGGAAAAAAGTCATGAATCCAAACAACTCATCATTTAGATGTAGATAATGAAAATAGTTATCCTGTACGTAGAAAATGTACTGAAAATTTTTTGTTTATTTTGACAAACAAGTAAAATCATTGCAATCTTTTATAACTCTTATCATTTAAATTTAATTTTAATTATGAAATGAATGAATAAATGATGGTAAAAAATTATTTTAATATAAAGATATGTGATATTTATTAGAACAATTTTAAAATTCCAAACAAAACTATACATAAGACATTATTTCGTACCTATTTTAAATAAAATAAAATTTTCTATCTAATTATTACTTTTAAAAAACAAAAAAAAGTATCACTCCAGATCAGTTTTACGTAGTAGTCCAACTCTATTTTTAAATATTACTGAGTTTAAAGAGATGAGATTCAAAAAAACTTCGCCAAAGATACCACTTGATATGTCTGAATCAATTACTATCAATTACTCAACAAATAAAAATCTTTAAGCATGTGATAATCGTCTATGATAGACAAAAATGCATATGCATTAAAAATCATGACTTGTAAGGTATTTAATACAATTACTTTATACTTAGTACAATTAATATTTGATAAAATACATAAATAATCGAAGAGAATTTTTTAATATTTACTTTACTCAACAAAGTAACTGTTACTATACTGTTTCGGTCACAGTAGCTTCTTGCTGTCTTTGAATTAATTAATGATACTAGTACGTTTTCATTTCAGTACTTTCCAGAGTGTTTGACTGATAAACTAATGATAGCATGGTTATAAATATATGACTTCATGCACCTCTAAAGGGGATCCCTAACGTACAATCCATACCAAAAGTATGTATCAAATGGTAACTGCTCTACTGTACTCCCTAGTAGTGTGTCCCTACTCCTTACACTTGCAACAAACGTCTGAAAGTTACTGTACGCACACACGACCTGCGAGATGTGGCTACACTGTAATTTGGTTACCTTCACATTATTGCCGCACTCCACTCTTGATATTTTTTTCTTCCTCGCGCCTTGGAAACATTCATCAAAATAATCATCTTCAGATTAAAATATGTCCGAAACGCAACGGTTAACTAAAATTTTAATATTTTCTTATTGAATGTAAAATAATAAACATATTTTTTTGGAATTTTCTTCGAAACAGATTCGAATTTATAGTTTAAATCGACTGCATCTTCATAAGAGTATGTGTATAAGAGATGAACTTTGTGATTCAATATCTTGAAAATGGTGCGATAAGCCCTTCGGAAATTTCAGTATGTTGTTGAATGTAAAATGATTTTTGACACGCCGTGCACGGGGACCTCGATTATGAGCCATCTGTCGTGACTCTAAAGACCTCGATTTACACACGCGACTCACAACTCGTGCTGCGCACTTGTCGAGTGCGTGTGTACGTTGAGATCTTTAGAGTCACATTAGATGGCTCATAATCTCCTTCCCCGCGCACGATGTGTCGAAAAGTTGTGTACACCACTCGTGCGAGAGGTTAGGTGATTGACACACGCGTGTCTTTGTACACTCGCTAGCGCTTGTGTGCGTCAATCGCCTTCCTCGCGCAGTCGCGCACTAGTATCGTAATGTACTATAATGATAAGTACAATGTCTTAAGAACCCCCTCAACTTACAAAATGTGTTTTCACTCATTATAACCGATGATCATTATAACCTGTTATAGGTTAAAATATCTTCAAAGCAAATAGATAAATTATTTAGATACTTTATTCATCAAGAATTTATTTACATTATCAAACAAAAATATGTTATCTCTATACTTACAAAAGCATGTACGATTTACATAGAACTACGTACATTATATAAAGTTTACATAAAATTCTATATGTAGTACATTATATCACATTGACTTTCTACCTTTTAACCTCCTAATACATTTTTCTGGTCTGCTGCATGCTGCATTATGTACTTCTGAAATAATATTTTATTAAAATAAATAAACGTTTGAATTTTCTTGAGAAATTTAACTATACAAACATACTTTAAAAGGTTTTATGGCATTTGTCAATTGTAAGCCTAAGCTCCTTGCCAGAATAATGGGTGGTGCAGTTCCTTTATATAATCTATGAAGAGCATCTATGCCAAGCATAGTAGGAATATTATGCCACTGCCTCATGCTTTCATATTTGTATAAATAATTTAAATCTCCAATTAATGCACCATTATGCACAGCATCTTCAAGGACTCGAACCATTGCTGAAATATCTCCGAAACCTAAGTTTACACCTTGACCAGCCAAAGGGTGAACTCGATGAGCTGCATCCCTGAAATTTTTTTAAAAAGTCAAAAAATTAAGAAAAAAAATTGTAGATATGAACGAATTCCCATTTCATTGTGGGGACATTATTGCTATGTGAAATATAATTATTACTCTCCAAAAACAGCCATGGCAAACAATGTCTTTAAACAATTCTTAAAATAGTACATTACTCACCTACGGAGGAAAAATAGAGAATGTCTCAGATCGCAAGCAATTTACTATGATGCGAAAGATAATCATGCGATCTGAGGGATTCTTTGTTTTTTCCCGTGGGTTGTATACGATTTTTCACCAATCCTGCGCCAGCAAAAGGAATTTTCGTTCTGCGAAGCGGGACGAAAGTTCCTTCTTTCAGCGCAGTCTGGTAAAAAGTTCAGTTTATTCATTTAATTCACTAATTTCTCACATTCTTTACTTTGCTGTTTACTAAATTGGCTTAAGGAGCTTATATATTATAAATTATATGTGTGAGATGATTAAAATAAAAATAAAAATCCTATGAATCATAGGGTATATATTTATATTTATAGTAGAGTTGCTAAAATAGCCCTGGTCGTAGAGCTCCTTCTGATATACATTTTTAATAAAAGGTATACATGGTTATAATATAGTATCATGGCCTATATTATAATATAGTATCATAGCCTATGTTATAATATAGCAAACAAGTTATAATATAGTATCATGATACTATATTATAACCATGCCTACCTTTCATTCAAAATGTATGAATAAAATGCTTTTCAGAAGGAGCTCTACGACCAGGGCTATTTTAGCAACTCTAATAAAACTATACAAAACCCTTTTATGAAGTGATATTGTGTACAAAGGTGATGCAATCATCGTAGAAATGAGTATACCTACGTTAATTGGGTGTAATATCAATAAATATTTCAATGTTTTTCATCAATTAAAGATTATAAATAACATATTACGATACAATAAAAAAAAAAAACAATATAATATGCTGGTCAGTATGAGAGTGTGCGCTTTCATTGAATTTTCCGATGATTTCAGAACTTTCTACCACCTACGCTAATTAATAACGTCATGCACACATTTGTCACATATGCTCACAAACTTATTCCTAGTCCACATTGAATACCCAAAATATAATTGTATCTAAAACCGTAAGAAAAACTATCTTACTGTAGTACCGTTTTCTTCAATAAAGTAGTATTATATGCCAGTGCACTTACGGGTCAGCAGCTGCAAGGCTAACATACGTCTTACGTTCCTCTGTGTATAACTGTATCAGACTGTGTTTTGAGGTGTGGTTTTTTACTGTGGGTATGGCCCTTTCGGCTATGTGTCCTCCAAATCCATAATTTCATTATTTTATCGAAGTATAAGTGCTCTTTGGCTCTGTAATAAGCCGAATAATAGGGAGCCCTGCTTAAGGGCTTTCATACCTAACCTCTACATGTCTGTATAGGCATCTAGCGGCATCATATGGAAAACCTTAGTCACAAAACTTATGTCAACAACAGCAGTTCAGCCTCAAATGATACTACAAAGAACACAACTGCCGAGCGAGTTGTTTTCACTCATAATGGACAGAATGCAAATAGGAAAAAGCGTTCATACTTCAGTGTCACTGAAAAAAGTTATACAGAAAAACAAGCAGTAATAATGGATGCGATTGATAATATCCCTATATTGCAGAGTACTGCTATGCAATTGTTCAAACCATCGATCCTTAGAAAATCACCCATTTGTAACAAATATTTCAAGCCAGAGTTTGTATGTACCTTAAAACTGTCGATGACGCCAAGTTTTTTTATGACTCAGTCAAACCTATTAAAATTCAAAATCTTATACTACCCATCAGACCCCTAATGTCAAGAGCTCGAAGGATAAGTATTTCCAACAAAAACGTCTGCCCAGCTATATCGGACCACGTGGTCTCACAAGAATTAAAAAAAAAACTAGGAACCAATCCAGCAAGCAAAATTAACAACATAAAGGCTAGTATTCCTGGTTCTCAGTTTGCACATACAGCTAGATTCAGTAAACAAGTTTATATTTTAGAAAATGAAGTTAAAAAGCTTCCAGCTGTACTAACACTACCCTCTGGCCACACTGCCCTACACATTTAGTTCTCCTCTAGTAAACTTACTTGTTTTATATGCAAAGAGGAAGGTCATATTGCAAGAAACTATCAAGCCAGACATGAACTGCCTTTCATTGAAAGTCAGATACCTCCACTAAAAAAATTTTGGTGGTCTCCTGCTAACCCTCAAATTCAAATTTGTAATCACGTAATCAAATCCTCAAAAAACGTTCGCTTATTAAGAGTTATATTTAACTACAGAATGTTGTTTCGTCCTGATTCTGTTAAAATTTATTCCAGATTCTCTCAAGCTCTGAGAATAATTAAATATCTCTGTGGAACCTGGTATGACTCTGATCTACAAACCTTGTTGATCATTTTCAAAAGCTATAACCGTTCTATTATTGATTATTGTACTTTATCCATCTTGTTGATCAAAAATATGTACACAACAATATTGCCAAAATTCAAAATCAGGCAATCAGAGCCGCACTAGGCTACAGAAAAACAACAGTTCTCAAAGTCATCTTTGCCGAATCAACATTACGCTTAAGGGGGTTATCGTTTATATCGTATATTTCATTTTCTATAAAATTAAAAAAAAAAATTATTATTTATCACTACACATAACAAATTAAAATTTTAGAGGAACTAGTTTTGTAGTTTTTGAGAAAAAAAATCTTAAAGTTTTTCTGTTATACACGGGCTCTTATGGAGAGGTCGTCGCGAGCTCGCTGATAAAGATATGCATCCTAATAGAACTCGTTTGATTTTTTATAGATTTTTGTAACAAACTAATATGTTGAAGCTGACTATATTAAAAAACGTTGTCCTAAATTTCAGTAGGCCTAGCTTTACAGTTTATGAGATGTTATAATGTAAAACAGCACATTTTTCCAAAAATTTGATGAAAACGAAGCAAACAGACGACTAGACTCGAACTGCGCATGAGCGAGTCCATTCGCTTATAAAAATTCATCGTTACGAGAAGAGAAGGGTGTACATTAACCCTTGAATCAATAAAATCTTTCAGTAATATCCAATCTAAACATGATTTCAAATCTTTGAATCCCCTTCAATAAGCTATCAAAGAAACATCTGAATTACTTAGTCAAATAGCTAGCTTCAAACTTTTATAATGTTTTATCTTTGACTTAGAAGATTTGTGTACTTTTTGTCAACATAACATCAAACTTGGCCAAATTTTTAAAAAGTCTGAATCTCTCAATTGAGATTTTAAACACGACACTAATAATGCTAACAACCCAAACTATCTTGACTTTTTTCATGACGGAAGTAAAACTAACAACTCGGAGCAAATCAAAGATTTCAGATTAGTGACCTTGAGAAAAAGTGTAACACAAGTGAATTTTGCTTGATTCTCTCCTTCACCCAGCCCCTCTTGACGTACTTCCGGTCCCAACATCATCATCCCACCACACAACATTGCACCACACTATATTACTTCATTTTCTCTTACAGTTAGTAACTTATTTTCAATGTCAATTTTTAGAACGAAGTTCTTTCTGTCGCGTACTCGGGGGGCTGGAATTTTGAAACCGACAGATTTTTTGAAACGGAAGTGGTTTACCCGAAGTCTTTTCCTCTCAAGTTTCCCCCCTTACCCCGTCGCCCTCACCATCAGTTCTCATGATACTATATTATAACCATGCCTACCTTTCATTCAAAATGTATGAATAAAATGCTTTTCAGAAGGAGCTCTACGACCAGGGCTATTTTAGCAACTCTAATAAAACTATACAAAACCCTTTTATGAAGTGATATTGTGTACAAAGGTGATGCAATCATCGTAGAAATGAGTATACCTACGTTAATTGGGTGTAATATCAATAAATATTTCAATGTTTTTCATCAATTAAAGATTATAAATAACATATTACGATACAATAAAAAAAAAAAACAATATAATATGCTGGTCAGTATGAGAGTGTGCGCTTTCATTGAATTTTCCGATGATTTCAGAACTTTCTACCACCTACGCTAATTAATAACGTCATGCACACATTTGTCACATATGCTCACAAACTTATTCCTAGTCCACATTGAATACCCAAAATATAATTGTATCTAAAACCGTAAGAAAAACTATCTTACTGTAGTACCGTTTTCTTCAATAAAGTAGTATTATATGCCAGTGCACTTACGGGTCAGCAGCTGCAAGGCTAACATACGTCTTACGTTCCTCTGTGTATAACTGTATCAGACTGTGTTTTGAGGTGTGGTTTTTTACTGTGGGTATGGCCCTTTCGGCTATGTGTCCTCCAAATCCATAATTTCATTATTTTATCGAAGTATAAGTGCTCTTTGGCTCTGTAATAAGCCGAATAATAGGGAGCCCTGCTTAAGGGCTTTCATACCTAACCTCTACATGTCTGTATAGGCATCTAGCGGCATCATATGGAAAACCTTAGTCACAAAACTTATGTCAACAAAAGCAGTTCNATTATAAAGGAAATTAAAACAACAAACCAGGGGGTATTAATGGGTCATGGGACTCACGGTAAGAACGAAGTTCTTTAAACATGAGATGGGTATAGACACAATTTCTCAGGTAACAACGGGGTCGCCGGACCCACAGGAAGAGCGAAGCTTTGTAAACGTTAGTACTGCATTTATGTAGTTCACTAAAACAAAAACTTGAAAAACGAAAAAAAAAAATAAAAAAACAGTAGCTCAGTACTCACGATGGTTGAACTTCGTGAGTACAGTATTTATGCACGACGTTCTCACGAAGTTCAACCATCGTGAGTACTAAACTACTAATTGTTTTTTTTTTTCCATTCGTTTTTCAAGTTTTTGTTCTAGTAAACAACATGAATGCAGTACTAACGTTTACAAAGCTTCGCTCTTCCTGTGGGTCTGGCGACCCCCTTGTTACCTGAGAAATTGTGTCTATACCCATCTCATGTTTAAAGAACTTCGTTCTTACC